TTCTGTTTGCACAAATTATAAAAATTGACAAAATCATGAACTTTTCTTTGTGGCGTAATTTTTAAATCTTTGACATGAACATATACAACTTTTTTTTCCAAATTAACCCAAAAGAACTTTTAATGCCTTAAATAAAGTTTTCCTCAAAAGCTGATTTCACCAATGTCGTTTGGAAAAACATTAAAGAGTTAATCTGAACAATAATCTGAGATCTCTCCTCATGTGTCACCTGATGACATCACTGTGTGGACCCTGCAGTGATGTCATCATGTGGAAACTAGATTCAGATTTGGCTTTTAGTTTTTGCTGCTGATGCTTTTGTCATGAGAAATACAAGCGACACTGTTTTGGATGTCACTTGGTGCAAAGTTTAAATGTGTTGAAAATTGTTCTAATTTGAAAATTTTCCTTTTGAAATCAGGTGTTGGTGTGAAACTCGACACTGACGCTTTCGTTTCTCTGATGGATAAAAGTAAAAAACAGTTTAAAATGAAAATGTGTGAAAAATGTGTCATTCGTTCAAATGGAATTTGTCATTTGGTGAAACAGACTTGTGCCTGTTGGAGCATTAAGAATCAAACTCAAAAAGATCTGCACATCTTTTACTATTTTATTTGTATTATTTACTATACAAATAAAACTATAAATGCAACTATATTAAAGTCATAATTTTTATTTTAACACACAATAAGATAATAATAGTCACATAAATAAAGGAAATTAGGTTTGGCAGATGAATTAGTAATTATTCAAAATGCAACTGGACAATAAATATATAAAAGTTGGATCCAGATGTTGTTCGGATGATCTGGAGTTTTCATGAAGTTTGTTTCTAAAGAAAATACTTTTTTTGTGTTTCAGATGAACTGTCATTCGGTAACAGCAGATACAGATAGAACACACTGAAAGTTTGTTTTGACAAAAAAAAAAATAAATTACATAAGAACTTACATTTAAAGAGGGAAAGTGCAACATGCTCAGGTTTTATCCCCTTTTTGTTGTGTTTTACTCATTTTATGAAAAAAAAAAAAGGTTGTGAGAGTTAATGCCATATTAAAGTAAACTGTGAAATTCTTTAAAACTTAAAGAAAAAATAAAGGCCTATTGTTTATTTGTAGATCTCAGTTTGTGTTGTTCATTATTTTCAATAATATAAGTTATTTTTAATGTAATTAAATGTTTATGTGTCCGTTGCACCGAGTGATATTTCTAAGACACACCGGGCTTTAAATGCAGAAAAATGTTTTTTTTTTTTTTTTATCAAAGTTTGTTTCAAGGAACAAATATGAAATGATAAAATGATAAAAAAAAAAAAAAAAAAACTTAAATATAACAGAAAATCGACATATGTTTTTGAGTATTTAAAAACTGCAAAACATCACTGATAAACTCAGAGACACAAAAGTCACTTACCCCGACTGGAGATGGACCAGACCAGGACCAGGACAGGACTGGGAGGGCCATGACCAGGACTGAACCAGACTAGACCAGGACTAGACCAGGACTGAAAATGCCAGTAAAACATGTGATCTTGTCTTCACGCATTAAAAAAGCAGAAGTTTGTTTGTGTTGCTCTTTACATCCTGTGACGTTCACAGCAGCAGAACGTTTGTGTTTAAAACTCTTAACGACCAAACTGCTGCTTCACTGAGCATCACCTGAAACTCACACAGCTCCTACTGGAGACAAGCACCAGGTTCACACACCGGGGCCGGGAGGTTCAGGTTCACACCCGGGCTCCGGGTTCCGGGTCTCGGGTTCACACACGGGACTCCAGGTTCACAACACCCAGGTTCACACCCGGGTCTCCGGTTCACACACCGGGCTCCGGTTCACCCCCGGGGCTCCGGGTTCCACACCGGGTCTCGGGTCACACACCGGGTCTCCGGGTTCACACACCGGGGCTCCGGGTTCACACACCGGGGCTCCGGGTTCACACACCGGGGTGACGGGTCTTCTCTGTTGGGCCCAGATCTGTCAAAGTTTCCCCTGTGCATCTCACAGACTCGGGCTGTTTCAGTCCAGACTCCAGAAGGATCAGTTTCCGTCGGAAGCAGAGATTTACTCAGACTTTTCTCAATCTCGAGATCTGAGTTTGTTTTGGTGCCAGAGCTGGACTCAAATCTGAAACACCCGTCCACAAGGTTCCAGCTCAAGGTTCCAACTGAGCCGTCGCTCAAGTCATGTTCTAATGTTCTAATGTTCTAATGTTTACTGTTCTACTGTTCTAATGTTCTAATGTTCTACTGTTCTAATGTTCTAATGTTCCTCCTCAAAATCAGAGCTGGAGTCGTGTTTGTTTCATTCACACGTTTCAGTGACTCTTTATTTTTAGTCTGTTTACATCTGCAAAGCTCCAAACACCCTGCTCCACCTGGTGATGTCATGAAGTGGTAGATGTTAGTTCAGTGGAGATCGTCAGTTCCTGCGGTGAAATGATCCAGATGTGAAGGTGAAACAGTTTTTTCAGTTTTTGTGTTTCAGTGTTTCCTTAAACACAAGAAAAAACTGAAACACTGATTGTGTTTATTTAACAGGGATTGTTTTACCTGGGGTAGTCCTGGTTAGTCCTGGAGTCCTGGTTTCAGTCTCTGGTTTAGGTCCTGGTTTCAGTCCTGGTTCAGTCCGGGTTAGTCCTGGTTCAGTCCTGGTTCAGTCCGGGTTATCCCAGTCCGGGTTAGTCCTGTTTAGTCCTGTTAGTCCTGGTTCAGTCTCTGGTTTAGTCCTGTTTATCCTGTTAGTCCGGGGGGTCTCGTACTTTGTGTCAATATTTGAGACCAAGGATCAGCAGCTCTGACGGTGAGATTCAGGTTTTTATTTTTATTTGTGTTTAATTCTTAAAATTTAGAAAAATCGTTTAAAAAAGTAAAAGTTTGATGTTTGTGATTTTAGTTTGATCCAAAAATGAGACTGAACCAAACTCTGTGTCTCCTGCTCTGCTCCCAACTCATCCACTGCAACGGTACTGGACCAGGACTAAACCAGGACTAAACCAGACTAACCAGACTAAACCAGACTAAACCAGTCTAAACCAGACTAAACAGGACAAACCAGACTGAACCAGGACTGTAACCAGGAACTCTAAACCAGGACTCAAACCAGGACTTAAACCAGGACAGGAACCAGGACTAAACCAGTCTAAACCAGGACTAAACCAGACTAAACAGGACAAACCAGACAAACCAGACTGAACCAGACTAAACCAGGACTAAACCAGTAAACCAGGACTAAACCAGACTAAACCAGGACTACAGGACTGAACCAGGAACCAGGTCTAAACCAGGTCTAAACCAGACTAAACCAGGACTAAACCAGGACTAAACCAGGAACCAGGTCTAAACCAGGGTCTAAACCAGGACTAAACAGGTCTAAACCAGGACTAAACCAGGTCTAAACCAGAAACCAGGTCTAAACCAGGACTGAAACCACTAAACCAGGACTAAACCAGGACTAAACCAGGACTAAACCAGGACTAAACCAGGACTAAAACCAGGACTAAACCAGGTCTAAAACCAGGACTAAACCAGACTAAACCTATACCAGGTCTAAACCAGGACTAAACCAGAACTAAACCAGGTCTAAACCAGGTCTAAACCAGGACTAAACCAGAACTAAACCAGGTCTAAACCAGGACCAAACCAGGTCTAAACCAGGACTAAACCAGGTCTAAACCAGGACTCTAAACCAGGACTAAACCAGGACTAAACCAGGTCTAAACCAGGACTAAACCAGGACTAGACTAAACCAGGACTAAACCCTAAACCAGGACTAAACCAGGACTAAAAACTAAACAGGACTAACCAGGACTAAACCAGGACTAAACCAGGACTAAACCAGGACTGAACCAGGACTAACCAGGACTAAACCAGGACTAAACCAGGACTAAACCAGGTCTAAACCAGGTCTAAACCAGGACTAAACCAGGTCTAAACCAGGTCTAAAACCAGGACAACCAGGTCTAAAACAGGTAAACCAGTCTAAACCAGGTCTAAACCAGGACTAAACCAGGTCTAAACCAGGTCTAAACCAGGTCTAAACCAAAACCAGGACTAAACCAGGTCTAAACCAGGTCTAAACCAGACTGAACCAGGACTAAACCAGGTCTAAACCTGAACCAGGTCTAAACCAGGTCTAAACCAGGACTGAACCAGGTCTAAACCCGGTCTCTTCCTGTTGTCAGTGTTCGTGGAGCGGGTCGGGGCGCTGCAGTTGCTCTCTTCTGCCCCCAGGAGGCGTCGGGCCAACGCTCGTCTGCTGGAGGAGGTTCTTCCTGGAGACTTGGAGCGAGAATGTTACGAAGAAACCTGCTCCCAGGAAGAAGCCTACGAGATCTTCCAGACCCGAGAGAAGACGGTACCTGGTCCAGGCCTGGTGTAGTCCTGGTTTAGACCTGGTTTAGACCTGGTTTAGACCTGGTTTAGTCCTAGTTTAGTCCTGGTTTAGACCTAGTTTAGTCCTGGTTTAGTCCTGGTTTAGACCTAGTTTAGTTCTGGTTTAGACCTGGTTTAGTCCTGGATTAGACCTGGTTTAGACCTGGTTTAGTCCTGGTTTAGTCCTGGTTTAGACCTGGTTTAGTCCTGGTTTAGAACTGGTTTAGTCCTGGTTTAGACCTAGTTTAGTCCTGGTTTAGTCCTGGTTTAGACCTAGTTTAGTCCTGGTTTAGACCTGGTTTAGTCCTGGTTTAGTCCTGGTTTAGTCCTGGTTTAGTCCCGGTTTAGTCCGGGTTTAGTCCCGGTTTAGTCCTGGTTTAGTCCCGGTTTAGTCCTGGTTTAGTCCAGGTTTAGACCTGGTTTAGACCTGGTTTAGTCCTGGTTTAGTCCTGGTTTAGTCCCGGTTTAGTCCTGGTTTAGTCCCGGTTTAGTCCTGGTTTAGTACCGGTTTAGTCCTGGTTTAGTCCTGGTTTAGGTCTGGTTTTAATCCTCTCTCTGTGTGGTTGTTTTTCAGTTGGAGTTCTGGTACAGATATAAAAGTGAGTCTGTTTGTGTGTCTGTGTGTCAGGAAGTGTTTGGGCTCCATGGACCTGTTCAGTTTGTGTCTCGTCTCTTCTTCTTGTTCTTGTTGTTGTTGTTGTTCTTCTTCTTCTTCTTCTTCTTGTTCTTGTTCTTGTTGTCTTCTTGTTGTTCATGTTGTTGTTTCTGTTGTTCTTCTTTGTTTCATGTTGTTGTTGTTGTTGTTCTTGTTCTTGTTCTTGTTGTTGTTCATCTTGTTGTTCATGTTGTTGTTGTTCTTGTTGTTCTTCTTGTTGTTCATGTTGTTGTTGTTCTTGTTGTTCTTGTTGTTCTTGTTGTTCTTCTTGTTGTTCATGTTGTTGTTGTTGTTGTTCTTCTTGTTGTTGTTCTTCTTCTTCTTCTTGTTCTTGTTCTTGTTGTTGTTCTTCTTCTTGTTGTTGTTGTTCTTCTTGTTCTTGTTCTTGTTCTTCTTGTTCTTCTTGTTCTTTTCTTGTTCTTGTTCTTCTTCTTGTTCTTGTTCTTCTTCTTCTTCTTCTTCTTCTTCTTCTTCTTCTTGTTGTTGTTGTTCTTGTTCTTCTTCTTCTTCTTCTTCTTCTTCTTGTTCTCTTCTTGTTCTTCTTCTTGTTCTTCTTCTTCTTCTTGTTGTTGTTGTTCTTGTTCTTCTTGTTCTTGTTCTTGTTCTGCTTCTTGTTCTTCTTCTTCTTCTTCTTCTTCTTCTTCTTGTTCTTCTTGTTCTTCTTGTTCTTGTTCTTGTTCTTCTTGTTCTTCGTCTTCTTGTTCTTGTTCTTCTTGTTCTTCTTCTTGTTCTTCTTCTTGTTCTTCTTGTTCTTCTTGTTCTTGTTCTTCTTGTTCTTCTTCTTCTTCTTGTTCTTCTTGTTCTTGTTCTTGTTCTTGTTCTTGTTCTTGTTCTTCTTCTTGTTCTTGTTCTTCTTGTTCTTCTTCTTCTTCTTCTTGTTCTTGTTCTTCTTCTTCTTGTTCTTGTTCTCTTGTTCTTCTTGTTCTTCTTCTTCTTGTTCTTGTTCTTGTTCTTGTTCTTGTTCTTGTTCTTGTTCTTGTTCTTGTTCTTCTTGTTCTTGTTCTTGTTCTTTCTTGTTCTTGTTCTTCTTCTTGTTCTTCTTGTTCTTGTTCTTGTTGTTGTTGTGCAGGTGTGAGCCGGTGCAGGTTGAGTCTGTGTTTAAATGGGGGACTCTGCACTTTGGACCAGGGACACGTCCAGTGTCTGTGTCCCCCCCAGTACCACGGCCCCCTGTGTGAGACAGGTGAGACCAGGACTGGGACTGAGACCGGGACCTGGACTAGAGCAGGACTAGAGCAGGACCAGGACTAGACCAGGATCAGAACTAGACCAGGATCAGAACTAGACAAGGACCAGAACTAGACCAGGACCAGGACTAGAGCAGGACTAGGACTAGAGCAGGACGAGATTAGGACCAGGACTAGAACTAGACCAGGACCAGGACCAGGACCAGGACTAGGACTGGAACTAGACCAGGACCAGGACCAGGACCAGGACTAGGACTGGAACTAGACCAGGACCAGAACTAGACCAGGACCAGGACCAGGACTAGGACTGGAACTAGACCAGGACCAGAACTAGACCAGGATTAGGACCAGGACTAGACCAGGACCGGGACTAGACCAGGACCAGACCAAGACTGAACCAGGACTGAACCGTTCTTTCACATGTTTAACACACAGACCTGCACATTTAACACGAGTTCTTCACTCACACTGAAAACCCTCTGTTCCACCTCGTGATGTCATCGTGTGGTGATACAGGAAGTGCTCCACTGTGTTTTTAAACGTCCACAAACCTTCACCAGAATCACCTGGATCATTTCAGTCGTGGAGTTTCTTCATCGACCTCGACTGAACTGAAGGGAAAAGGAGCTGTTCACCTGGAAAACTACCACTTGATGACATCACAAGGTGGAGCGGAGCGTTTAGAGTTTTGTAGATGTAAACAGACTCAAAATAGCGTGTTGTTAGCATGTTAGCGTGTTGTTAGAGTGTTGTTAGCATGTTGTTAGCATGTTAGCGTGTCATTAGCATGTTATTAGCGTCATGAGCATGTTTTTAGCATGTTATTATGTTAACATGTCATTAATATGTCGTCAGCATGTCATGAGCATGTCGTTAGCATGTCATTAGCATGTTGTTAGCGTGTTGTTAGCGTGTCATTAGCATGTTGTTAGCATGTTTTTAGCATGTTGTTATTATGTTAACATGTCATTAATATGTCGTCAGCATGTCATTGAGCATGTCGTTAGCATGTTGTTGTTTCCGGTTCCAGAGCGCAGGAAGTGCTCCTTCAAAAACGGCGGGTGTGTGCAGTACTGCTCGGACCTGCCGGGGGGCGCCGGGGTGAAGTGCGGCTGTGCTGAAGGATACAAACTCAACCAGGACGGACTCACCTGCAGCCCGACAGGTGCACGCAGGGACGGCACCTGACACACGCAGGGAGGGGGCACCTGACACACACAAGGAGGGCACCTGACACACACGAGGAGGACACCTGACACACGGGGAGGACACCTGACACACACACGAGGAGGCACCTGACACACACGGGGAGGACACACTGACACACAACGAGGAGGGCACCTGACACACACGGGAGGCACCTGACACACACAGGGAGGACACCTGACACACACAGGGAGGGCACCTGACACACGGGGAGGACACCTGACACACACGGAGGAGGGCACCTGACACACACAGGGAGGCACCTGACACACACAGGGGGACACCTGACACACACGGGGAGGACACCTGACACACACAGGGAGGACACCTGACACACACGGGGAGGGCACCTGACACACACGGGGAGGGCACCTGACACATGTTTCCTGTTTCAGTGGAGTTTCCTTGCGGTCGACAACAAAACCAGGGGTGGATCCGGACCCGGTCTCTGTTGCTCCCAGATCACAACCAGGACCAGAACTGGACTCAAGACGAGGACTGGAACCGGACTGAGACCTGGAACCGGACCTGGACTCTGGAGCCTGTGAATCCCTCTTGGGCGGAGCCTGAGGGGAACGTGACCTCTGACCTGAGATCTGGGCGGGGCCAGGGGGAGGCGCGGATCGTGGGCGGGGCTCTGGAGGTGTTGGGAGGAAGTCCGTGGACGGTAAATGTTCAGATGAATCGTGTTGAGGTTTTTTTCGGTTCTTTTTGGACTCACCGCTCCACAGATCTGATCCATCACTGAGTCTCGGTGGGCAGAAGGTCTCTAGTTTCGTTTAGTTTGAAAGATAAGTTGTTCCATCAGATTTTGAATTTTAAACTAAATGTGGATGAGTGAAGGAGATCAGGAACACAAAGGTCAATGTTCTGGTTTTGAGTTCCTTCAAAACACCAGCTGATGTTTTTGTGAAGAATCTTCAGACTCAGGTGTCCTCCTCAGGTTCTGTAATTGCAGATGTTCTCCTCAGGTTCTGTAATTGCAGATGTTCTCCTCAGGTTCTGTAATTGCAGATGTTCTCCTCAGGTTCTGTAATTGCAGATGTTCTCCTCAGGTTCTGTGATGTCCTCCTCAGGTTCTGATCCGGAGGGAGGACGGGTTCGGGTTCTGTGGTGGAACCCTGGTGTCGGAGCGGTGGGTCCTGACTGCTGCTCACTGCTTCCAAGAGACGAAAGCCCATCACATCACTGCAGGTGAGAAGAACTGGACCAGGACTAAACCAGAACTAGTCTCGTGTCTCAGAGGAGGTTGTTGGTTTGTCGTGTCTCAGAGGAGTTGTTGGTTTGTCTCTTGTCTCGTGTTGGTTTGATTCTCGTGTCTCAGAGGAGGTTGTTGGTTTGAGTCTCGTGTCTCAGAGGAGGTTGTTGGTTTGAGTCTCGTGTCTCAGAGGAGGTTGTTGGTTTGAGTCGTGTCTCAGGTTGTTGTTGGTTTGAGTCTCGTGTCTCAGAGGAGGTTGTTGGTTTGATTCCCTCAGGTGACGTGGATAAGATGCGTCCGGACCCCGGGGAGCAGAAGGTGCTGGTGCAGAAGGTTCTGGTCCATCCTCATTTCCACGACTTCACGTTGGACAGTGACGTGGCTCTGATCCTCCTCAAGACCCCGGTGCTCTTCAGCTCCTCCAGCCTCAGCGCCTGCCTCCCAGACCCGCACCTGTCCACCTACCTGCTGCGGGTGAGTCCAGGACCAGGACCAGGACCAGGACCGGACCGGGACCAGGACCAGACCGGGACCAGGACCAGGACCAGGACCACACCAGGGCCAGGACCAGGACCAGTCCAGGACCAGGACTGGATGGACTGGACCAGAACCAGGACAAGGCCCAGACCAGAACTAGGATCAGGACCAGAACAAGATCAGGACCAGACCAGGACCAGGACTAGAACCAGGACCAGACAATCATCAGACCAGAACCAGACTAGGACTGGAAAAGACAAGGACCAGGACCAAAACTAGACCAGGACCAGGACCAAAACTGGACCAGAACAGGACCAGAACCAGGACCAGGACCAGAACTAGGACCAGGATTGTACCAGGTGTAAACCACGCTAAACCAGATCCAAACCAGATCTTAGTACTGACTCAGTCCTGGTTTAGACCTGGTTTAGTCCTGGTTTAGACCTGGTTCAGACCTGGTTTAGTCCTGGTTTAGACCTGGTTTAGACCTGGTTTAGTCCTGGTTTAGACCTGGTTTAGTCCTGGTTTAGACCTGGTTCAGGCCTGCGCGGCAGTAGCTCAGTTGGTGGAGCATTCGCCCACTGATCTGAAGGTTGGTGGTGTGATTCCAGCTCCCACAGATGAATGCTGTTGTTGTGTCCTTGGGCAAGACACTTAACCCACCTTGCCCACAGTGTCTGTGTGTGTGAATGTGTGTGTGTGTGTGTGAATGTGTGTGTGAATGTGTGTGTGAATGTGTGTGTGAATGTGTGTGTGAATGTGTGTGTGTGAATGTGTGTGTGTGTGTGTGTGTGTGTGTGTGTGGTTCCTTGTTGTAAAAAGCTTTGAGCCTTGAAGGTGGAAAAGTGCTGTAGAAAAATGTGACCATTTCCCTGGTTCTTTGGTTCTTTGGTTCTTTGTGTTTCAGAAGGACGTTCAGGGGGTGGTCTCCGGTTGGGGCACCACTCAGTTTCTTGGGCGCAGTTCTCGTTTCCTGAGGAAGGTGACGCTGCCCGTGGTGAGCTACGAGACGTGCAGCGGGTCTACGGAGCAGGTCTGTGCGAGGGCGAGCGCTGTCTGTGTGATACGGAGCAGGTCTGTGCGAGGGCGAGCGCTCTCTGTACAAATCTGCACATTTAGTCCAAACTGTGTTTAATAAAAGACACGTTTGGATCAGTGGAGAGTTTCTGTGTCGTTCATTTGTTTTTCAATATAAAACCAAAAATAAGAAAATGAAAAAACAACAGTTTTCTTCATTATTTGTCTCCAAAACCAAAATGAAAAAACAGATAATGATTCATTTTTTCAGTTTTTGATTTTGTGTTTCAATGAAAAATGGAAAAAAAAACAGATAACGACCGTTTCCTGTTTACGTGACTTCAGTGACTGTGATGTCGGACTGAACCAGGACTGATCCAGGTCCAGGACCAGACTGGGACCAGACCGAGACTGAGAGCGGGACCAGACTGGACTCCGAGCTTTGACTGAGCCTCAGCTTCGAGCTCCGGCCCTGCTGTGGGCTCTGAGTCTCCAGTCTGGTCCTGGCCTGATCTCGGTCTCAGTCCTGCTCTGGTCTCGGTCTGGTCCTGGTCCCGGTCCCAGTCTGGTCTCAGTCTCGGTTTGGACTTGGTCTCTGTCCCGGTCTGGTCTCAGTCTAGTCCTGGTCTGGTCCTGGACCTGGATCAGTCCTGGTTCAGTCCGACATCACAGTCACTGAAGTCACGTAAACAGGAAACGGTCCATATCTGTTTTTTTTTCCATTTTTCATTGAAACACAAAATCAAAAACTGAAAAAATGAATCATTATCTGTTTTTTCATTTTGGTTTTGGAGACAAATAATGAAGAAAACTGTTGATTTTTCATTTTCTTATTTTTGGTTTTATATTGAAAAACAAATGAACGAGTTACACGGCTGTAGGCGCCGTTACAGAATAAATAAATGTTCGGTTTGTTACATAAAGAAGGAGGAAAATAACGACAGGACGACGGCAGCGATGAGTTTGAAGAAGGAAGTAAAAAGTGTTGTAAATGTCGTGTGTGAGAAAAGTGTGTGAAGTTTGTGCTGACGGGTTTTACACACTTAAAACACATAGAATCATTGTAAAATATAAAGTTGACCATTTGGTGGATCTCGTCTGTTGCAGGTTATTTTTAAAACGTAACACGACGGACCAGTAAATAAAATACTGACTTTATAGGAGATGGAACTTTCATGTTTGAAACTGAACACATTAAGTCCTGAAAAGAGGAAGAGGATGAACGAGTCGCTCCTACAAAGAGCAAGTGTTGATGTTTATTTGTTGAAGACGCTGACCCCTAGTGGCCAGAGTCAAGAATACATGACATGAAACACTTTTTATAATGTTTTATTTATTTAGTTTTTATTTTATTTGTTTAGTCCTGTTTTAGTCCTGGTTTAGTCCTGGTTCAGTCCTGGTTTCGTCCTGGTTTAGTCCTGGTTCAGTCCTGGTTTAGTCCTGGTTTAGTCCTGGTTAGTCCTGGTTTAGTCCTGGTTTTAGTCCTGGTTAGTCCTGGTTTACCTGGTTCCTGGTTTCAGTCCTGGTTTTAGTCCTGGTTTAGACCTAGTCCTGGTTTAGTCCTGGTTTAGTCCTGGTTTAGTCCTGGTTTAGTCCTGGTTTAGTCCTGGTTTAGACCCGGTTTAGACCCAGTTTAGTCCTGGTTTAGTCCTGGTTTAGTCCTGGTTTAGACCCGGTTTAGTCCTGGTTTAGTCCTGGTTTAGACCTGGTTTAGACCCAGTTTAGTCCTGGTTTAGTCCTGGTTTAGTCCTGGTTCAGTCCTGGTTTCGTCCTGGTTTTCCTGGTTTAGTCCTGGTTCAGTCCTGGTTTAGTCCTGGTTTAGTCCTGGTTCAGTCCTGGTTTAGTCCTGGTTTAGTCCTGGTTTCAGTCCTGGTTTAGTCCTGGTTTAGACCTGGTTTAGTCCTGGTTTCAGTCCTGGTTTAGTCCTGGTTTAGTCCTGGTTTAGACCCTGGTTTAGACCCTGGTTTAGTCCTGGTTTAGTCCTGGTTTAGAGTCCTGGTTTAGACCCTGGTTTAGTCCTGGTTTAGTCCTGGTTTAGACCCAGTTTTAGTCCTGGTTTAGTCCTGGTTTAGTCCTGGTTTAGACCCAGTTTAGTCCTGGTTTAGTCCTGGTTTAGACCTGGTTTAGTCCTGGTTTAGTCCTGGTTTAGTCCTGGTTTAGACCCAGTTTAGTCCTGGTTTCGTCTCATGTCTCAGGTGTGTGTTCTGTGTGAGTTTTAAAGCCTGAGTGCGGGACTTTTCCTCAGGTCATCACTGATAACATGTTCTGTGCCGGGGTGGCGGACGCGTCGCGGGACTCGTGCAGCGGCGACAGCGGGGGGCCCTTCGTGGTCCACTTCCGGGGCACGTGGTTCGTGACGGGCGTGGTGAGCTGGGGCGAGCAGTGCGCCGCCCGCGGGAAGTACGGCGTCTACGCTCGGGTCGGACACTTCCTCGGCTGGATCCGGGAAACCATGGCGACGGAAGAGAGGAGGGAGGAAGAGGAGGAGGAGGAGAGGAGGAGGAGGGACCGGGCTCTGAACCAAACCCAGACCCAAGACCAGAACCAAGACCCGGTCCATAAATCCCAGAGTCTGAATCAAACCAGACACAACGAGACTGTGAATCCTTAAAGACGATATTTATTTGCGCGGAGCTTTAAAGACGAGAATGTGACTCTGTGAAGTAAAAACTTTAAAGTTTCAAATCACTATTTTCATTTTATTGGATATAAAGTAAAACAGCAGATTCACAGGTTTGATAAATTTATAAAAATAAACTTTCATTTTTGCTGCTTCCATAAATGTGCCGAGTCTGTGGAAGATTATTTGTTCCATAAGATTTCGATTATTTTTTTTTTTTTAACTTTCATCGCCTCAGATCAATTTACATCAACACCTTCACACAATTTATATATTTACTCTTTTTTCCCTCTTTTTTCTAGAATAAAAAAATAAAAAAAATAAAATAAAATAAATAAATATAGCATGTGGGCATAAGTCAGTAATTTAAGATTTTTAATTTTAAATCCCTCTGAATTTCTCACTTTGCATTTTTTAACTCTAGAAAAATTGAATTATTTTTATTCTGAATTTTTGTTGCATAATTTTTAAATGAACTTTTTCAATATGTTTCAGATTCATAATTTTTTTTTAAAAAATCACCTTTTTAATATTCAGCACAAATATTTTCAAGCCTCAAATTCATCAGTCAAAATTCCACAGCAAAGATTCGAGACGCCGCGGCAACACTGTGAATTTTACACTCAGAATTTGAGGCCTTGAAAATATTTGTCCTGAATATTTAAACACTTAAAATTTCAGCAAGTAAAATTTTGAATAAAAATAATTCAAACATGTTTTTTTCAGAGTTAAAAAATCCAAAGTGAGAAAGTCCAGGTCGTTTTAAAATTCAAAATCTGATGGAACAAATGCTCTTGCACATGAGTCGCTCCCCGTTCAGAGCGACGGGTGAATTGTTTTGTGATTAAATGTACGTTTTACTTTTGTGACGTGTCCACGAGCGACACGAAAAACGCTGTTCAATAAAACGAATTATTGTTATTTCAAACTGGACTTTTGTGGTTCATTTAGCCCCTCCCCCTCTGTCATTAGGCCCCTCCCCTCTGTCATTAAGCCCCTCCCCTCTGTCTTTTGTACTGGATGTGTGTCTTTGGTGAAATGTTCTGTGGTTGCCATGGAAACACATTAACAAAATTTAATAACGTAAAATTTTGTTAACGTAAACGGTTTAGACCTGGTTCAGTCCTGGTTTAGTCCTGGTTCAGTCTGGTTCGGTCTGGTTCGGTCTGGTTCAGTCCTGGTTCAGTCTGGTTCGGTCTGGTTCGGTCTGGTTCAGTCTGGTTCGGTCTGGTTCGGTCTGGTTCGGTCTGGTTCGGTCTGGTTCGGTCTGGTTCGGTCTGGTTCAGTCTGGTTCGGTCTGGTTCGGTCTGGTTCGGTCTGGTTCAGTCTGGTTCGGTCTGGTTCGGTCTGGTTCGGTCTGGTCGGTCTGGTTCAGTCTGGTTCAGTCTGGTTCGGTCTGGTTCAGTCTGGTTCAGTCTGGTTCGGTCTGGTTCGGTCTGGTTCGGTCTGGTTCAGTCTGGTTGAACAGAGACTCGGAGACTGGAGGCGGTTCTGGACTCGTTTGTATTTGGACTCGTGACAAAAACAGTTTGTTTTTTTTACATTTGAACATTAAAGATGAACCTCGTCGTTCAGACTGGAAGACGTCCTCAGGGTCCGAGCGCCGCGGGGTCACAGGTCACAGAGGAGGCCCCGCCCCCTGCGCCGCCGGGCCACGCCCCCTCCTCCGGGCCACGCCCCCCTCCTCCGGGCCCACCTCTACAGTGTGAAAGAGTTTAAGAGCAGTGGGTCTGGGTCTGGTTCTGGTTCTAGTGGGTCTGGTTGTGGGTCTGGTTCTGGGTCTGGTGGGGCAGTGGGTCTGTGTCTGGTTCTGGATCTGGTGGGTCTGGTTCTGGGTCTGGTGGGTCTGGTTGTGGGTCTGGGTCTGTGTTTCTGGATCTGGTGGGTCTGGTTGTGATTCTGGGTCTGGTTCTGGTGGGTCTGGTTGTGGTTCTGGTTCTGTTTGTGGGTCTGGATCTGGTGGGTCTGGTTGTGATTCTGGGTCTGGGTCTGGTTCTGTTTGTGGTGGAACATGCAGTGAGTCTCATGCACGTTTAAAGACGAGCTCCTCTCGGGTCGCCGGGTCCGTCGCGGCGCTGGCAGATTTTTCTTACAGGTTAAAAGTGAAACTCGGGTCCACCGGGTCCACCGGGTCCACCGGGTCCGACTCGAAGTGGACTTTGCACGTTCTCTCTGTGTCTGAGCAGGTTTGGCTTTATTTCCTCCATCAGCAAAAAAACCAAAACAAAAACAAAAAACCACATGCACAACAATCCTCCAGACAGTGATCCCAGTCCTGGTCTGGTCCTGGTTTAGTCCTGGTTTAGTCCCGGTTTAGTCCCGGTTTAGTCCTGGTTTAGTCCTGGGGCAGTGCTGTTTGAGGCAGTGATCTGAGCGCTGTGTTTTCCGAACACGGCGCCGTGAGGAACTCTGGGAAAACGTAAACGAGACGGAGGAGGAGGTCTGCTGCTCTCTGTCGCCCCCTCGACTCGTGGCCGCTCCGGGTACTGCGGCCGTGTCGTGGCGGGGCATCCGGAGCTTTCACCAAGATCAGGTTTTTTGTATTTTTACAGTATGATCTTTTCAGAATTTAAGTCATTCCTTGAACCACTGTTTGTACTTCTACTTAAGTAATATTGTTTTGAAATAGCAGTACTTCTACTCGAGTAATTTTTGAGTTTATCGTCCTCTTTTTTCCCTCCGTCGTTTTACAGAATCCCAGTTTAAAAACACAAATCATGAAGTGTGTAACAGTAGAACACGGACGATCGTTTGTTCCGTCACATTTTGAGTTTGAAACGTTGCTGAGTTTCTTTTAAAAACTTAACTTTTATTCTGAAAGGCAGGAAGTGACGTCGTAAGTGCACATTTTCAAACTGTCTAAAATTTCACCTTTGAAATATTCAGCACAAATATTTTCAAGCCTCAAATTCAGTTTTTCTAGAATTTAGTCGAATTTAAAGCATTTTATCTAGAATTTGGCTAAATTTGAAGCATTTTTTTCTAGAATTTTGTCAAATTTAAAGCATTTTATGTAGAATTTAGCTGAAATTTTAAGCATTTTATCTAGAATTTAGCCGAATTTAAAACATTAAAGCATTTTAAAGCATTTAATCTAGAATTTAGTCGAATTTAAAGCATTTTATTTAGAACTTTGTCAAATTTAAAGCATTTTATGTAGAATTTAGCTGAAATTGTAAGCGTTTTATCTAGAATTTAGCCGAATTTAAAGCATTAAAGCATTTTAAAGGCATTTAATCTAGAATTTTGCCAAATTTTAAGTTTTTTGTCTAGAATTTATATTAATTTAAAGCATTTTATCTAGAATGTTGCCAAATTTTAAGCGTTTTCTTCTAGAATTTACACTAATTTAAAGATTTTTTTTCTAGAATTTTGCAAAATTTTAAGCATTTTATCAAGAATTTGTTTAATGTTACATCACAAATCCAAACCATAAGGTGAGTGGAGAGAGTTCACATTTCAGATTTATCTCTAAAAGTAAAAGTCTGATCAGTTCTACACATGTAGGTGCTGGAAAGTCCTGGAAAATTCACTATAGGTCATGGAAAAGTTTGGAAATGTTTGAAAGACTCTGCTGAATTTGAGGCTTGAAAATATTTGTGCTGAATATTCAAATGGTAAAATTTTAATTCTGAATTTGAAGCATACTGAAAATGTTTCCGCAGCTCAAATTCAAAATCAAAAAAATAAAAAAATAACGAGAAATTCAGCGAGATTTAAACTTGTAAATGTGATGAAACAAACGCTCGTCGGCAGGAGAAACTTTGGGCCGAGTCACTGAGCTCTGAGGCTGAGTCCACATCGACAGGACCGCACCTGCCCACAAGGTGTTTCAGTTTCCTCCGTTTGCTCTCGGGATAAACCCACTTAAAGCTTCACTCTGTCACTTTTCTGGAGGAGCCCACGCTGCACTTTTCTCTGACCTGGACAAGATTTTTAAAACTTCTGTCAGGTTCTTCGTCTTGTTTTCAGATTTCTGATCGACTCGCTCGTTCATGACTCCACAATAAAGGAAATAAATGTTTAAAAGAAGCGACAATTCATTTACCAAAACTTTTATCTAGAATTTATCATCTTTGAATTTATTATCAGGCCGTTCACTCTCATCATAAACTGGTTTTAAGTCTGTTTACTAGAATTTAGCAGAATTTAAATCATTTTATCTAGAATTTAGATGAATTTGAAGCATTTTTTTTCTATAATTTAGTCAAATTTAAAGCATTATTTCTAGAATTTAGATTAATTTAAAGTATCATATCTAGAATTTAGCCAAATTCAAATCATGTTATCTAGAATGTAAATGAATTTAAAGCATTTTGTCTAGAATTTAGAAGAATTTTAAGAATTTTATGTAGAATTATATAGCCAAATTTTAAGCGTTTTATTTAGAATTTTGCCAAATTTAAAGTGTTTAATCTACAATTTTGATGAATTTAAAGCGTTTAATCTAGAATTTTCCCGAATGTAAAGCATTTTATCTCAAATTTAGCAGAATTTAAAGAATTTTATCTAGAATTTAGCAGAATTTAAATTTTTTTTAACTAGAATTTTGTAGAATTTAAATGATTGTATCTAGAATTTAGCAGAATTTTAATCATTTTATCTATAATTAAAACTAATTTAAAGCATTTTATCTAGAATTTAGCGTCTCTGAACACTGATCCTAAACTGGTTTAAGTTTCTCTCAAACTGAGCCTCATAAATTTATTTCCAGCTCATGAACTCTGAGCTCAGACTGGTTCACTCTGGTCTAGAGTCGTTTATTTGAAGAAAACTCGTCCAGTAAAACCTCAACACGTCATTTCAACTCATGTTCTGACAAATTTAAGTTTTGATCTCTCGTTTGGTCGGTGTTTTTCACAGTGAGCGGTTGTTCCGTAGTGCAGCTTTAAGCGTGGACGTGTCGTCTGTGGTCTGCAGCCTCAGCCCCGACACGACAACACACCACAAACAAACAAACAAACAAACAAAAAACGCCGCACAGGAGCGAGACGCAGGCGCACGAGGCTCATCGAGGGCAGCCGTCCCGCGAGCCTGTGCAGCGCTTTTCAAAACAGATCACTTTTACTTTTACTTTTACTTTTACACTTTTACACATTTTCAGAAACAGCGGCGTCTCGTGTCGGCAGTGACGAAAAAAAACAAACTGACAAAACCTGACTCCAGTTTCTGAAGTTTCACTTTTTCATCAGCGTCACTGAAACTTACCGAAGTGCAAACCTCGAATCCGGAAACAGTCCAACAGCTCAAGTCCTGGTCCGGTCCTTTGGGTTTAGAACCACGTTTAGTCCTGGTTCTGGC